GCGACTTGGGGGGCTTCCTGGGCTGGACATGGGGCATCGAGAGCCACCGTCAGCACAATGACCCCCGGGCACCCTGTTGTCATGTTCACGGAACAAACAGGCTCCGAGGGTGAGGGGTGCTGGCCCGACCGCCACGCGCGCCTGCAGTTTGCTAGTCGGTGCTCAAAGCGGCCCAGAGACCACCGACCCCCAAGGACACGGACGGGCACGCCAGGCCTGACGAGGTCACGGTAAGGGACAAAGGACGGCCGCGTGGGTGTGATGCGGGGACGCCGAGATCCGAGGCCCGAGAGCAAGGGGAGGGGGTCCTGTACTGGCACCAAGAAGGTGGGCAGAGCGCGGAGGGGGGGGCGGGGAGCACTCACCTTGCTCACCTGGCCGGCCTGCAGCAGGCTGGAGGCGTCCAGGAAGGAGAAGACGTGCAGCAATGGCACCTCAGGCAACGGCAACAGCAACGGCACCTGAGGCGTCCAGGAAGGAGAAGACGTGCAGCAACGGCACCTCAGGCAACGGCATCTGCACCTGCACCTCCGCCTCCGCCTCCACCTCTGCCCCTGCCCCTGCCTCTGCCTCCGCCTCCGCCTCTGCCTCTGCCCCCACCTCCACCTCCGCCTCTGCCTCCACCTCCATCTCCATCTCCATCTCCTTCTCAACCTCCTTCTCCATCTCCATCTCGTAGCCGAGCCCGAGCCCGTAGCCAGCTCCTTCCCCCCCGCAGGCTGCCCTGCATTTAACGTGGCCCTGGGAGGCTTCCCACCTGCCCCGGGCTGGAGCGGACAGGCCGCAGGTGCCCGGCCTCCACTCCCACCTGCGGAGGGGCAGCCGCTCTCACCGGAAGGAAGCCCGACCCTCCCGCCTGTTCTCCAGCGGACGCTGCTCTCCCAGGGAGCTGCCTGCCACAACCTCACCTTTTGCTTGAATCTTTGTGATTTTATTCTTTTTTTTTTAAATGTTACTTTTAAAAATATATATTTTTTATTCATTTCAGAGAGGAAGGGAGAGAGAGAGAGAGAAACATCCATGATGAGAGAGAATCAGTGATCAGCTGCCTCCTGCACGGCCCCCATTGGGGATGAAGCCCGCAACCCAGGCCTGTGCCCCGACTGGGGATCAAACCGTGACCTCCTGGCTCCGAGGTCGAGGCTCAGCCACGGAGCCACGCCGGCCGGGCCTGCCTGTTGTCCTCCGAACATCTGTGCTTTGACGCTTAAAGGCATCGGACCTCACATGTTCACGCAGAATTCTTTCTGGCCGGCCCTCCCCCGCCCCGTGCATGTTCTGTTCACCCTCTTGCTCAGTTTCCTCGATTTCTCGTTGTTTGCGACCCTCCTGTTCTCTTGGAGTCAGTCCCCTTCGCTCGCCCACATGCTCCCTCCCGCTCGCATCCGATCTCCACACCCCGTTTTCCGCAGACGACACCCCAGGTTCGGCCCTGATGCTCCTTCGCTGGCTCCCGTCCCGTCAGAGCCGGCGGTGAGGCCGTAAGTGGATTAAGCGCACGTGTTTGGTGTCTGGTCTCTGTCTCTCTCCCTCGACGGGATGTAATTTCTCTGATGAAAGGAGTCTGTCTCTCTCACTCGCTCGGGACTCACAGGCCAGGCTTGTTGTGGAAACAGAAGATTGAATTACACGGCAGGCAGCCGAGGAAGGGATGGGCGAGTGGCTCTGGGCTGGCGGCAGCAGCGCCAGGCCCTGGGGGCCGTCCCCACGGTGACCCTGGTGACCCCGGGAGCTCCCGCCGGAGGCAGGGCAGATGGAAGGAGACTCAGGCTTCGTTTTCCTGTTGAAAATAGACACCATTCCCCCCCTTCCCTTCTCTTGGACCAGCGGTTCTCAACCTTCTGGCCCTTTAAACACAGTTCCTCATGTTGTGGCCCAACCATAACATTATTTTCGTTGCTACTTCATCACTGTCATGTTGCTGCTGTTATGAATCGTAATGTAAATATCTGATATGCAGGATGTATTTTCATTGTTACAAATTGAACATAATTAAAGCATCGTGATTAATCACAAAAACAATATGTAATTATATATGTGTTTTCCGATGGTCTTAGGCGACCCCTGTGAAAGGGTCGTTCGACCCCCAAAGGGGTCGCGACCCACAGGTTGAGAATCGCTGCCTTAGAGCGCTTCCTTTGGAAATCTCATCGCTGTGTGTCTCTCTCTCTCTGACATGTGTGTAAAGTTTTTAGAAGCTGTAAGTCTCAGGAATATTTTTCTAAAGGACCCGGGGGCCATCTCTTTAAAATACAAACACCCTCGCCCGGTCGGCTCAGTGGATAGAGCGCCGGCCTGTGGACTGAAAGGTCCCGGGCTCAATTCCGCTCAAGGGCACGCACCTGGGTTGCAGGCCCCTCCCCGGCCCTGGGCCCTGGTCGGCTAGTGCAGGAGGCAACCAATCAAGGTGTTTCTCTCACATCGATGTTTCTCTCTGTCTTTCCCTCTCTCTTCCACTCTCTCTAAAATCAATGGAAAAATATCCTTGGGTGAGGATTTAAAAATAAACAAAGAAAGTCTAATTTTTAAAAAAAGAGATTTCTTTTTCCGCTTCTATAAAACCAATGAACTAACTAGTCACCCCCTCGCAGGTGCACGTGGAATGAACCGTGTGTGACAGCTGGTGCCGTCGAACCCTCGGGCGTCTGGAGGGCACTTGCGCGATGCTCGGCCACATGAGATTCCTGTCCTTCCGTCCTTCCGTCCCTCCGTCCTTCTGCCCCCCAGGGGGCTGCTGGGAGACGCATCGCCTTCTGGCCAAAGGCTGTCCAACAGTGAGACCTGCTCCCTCCGACCTCTGTGTGAGCGGCTTCCTAGTTGGGAGACTTTGTTTTAAATGACGTTCCCCTGAAACGGAGGGCTAAGGCGGTGGCGGGAGCAGCTGCATAGCCAGCTGGGAGGGTGAGTGAAGAGAACTGGAATCTGTTTAAGGAAGAGCGGGTGGGAGGCGGAGCCACAGGGCAGGGCCACAGGGCACTGGGCCGGAGGGCGTTGGGTGGGGGCTGCTGGGCTCCCTGAGAAGCCAGAGAAGGGGGGGGCCCCGGAGACAGGTTCAGGGCTCCACCCAGGAAGGGCTGCACTGCCAGGGCTCCCCTGGGTGCAAGTCTCCTGCGTCCCTCCCAGGGAAGAAGGGGGGAGGGAACGGTGCAGGCATGCTCTGGGGGGCCCACGCTGGCTCCCTTGTGTTGAGGGTCTCACCCCCCTCTCTCTCTCCCTCCTCAGGTGGGAATCTCAGGGGAGGGTCTCAGTAGAACGCTCATCAGCTCCCAGGTGAGCTGTCAGGGTCTTGGTCTCCACTGTGGTCGGCGCCAGGACAGGGTCACTAGTCAAGGCAGCGGGTCCGAGGCAGCCACGGTCACTGGTCTGGTTTTGCTGCTTTTCTGGGCCTGAGCTGAGACACGACTGAGGCCTCGATGTTCTCTCCAGGGAGGAAAGGTCAGGGGTTCAACCCGCATGACCAGCCATACGCTGGGGGGGCGGGGAGGGGGTCACCCTAGGAACCAGGGTCTTGTTTTCTCA